GGTTGGGCGCGGTGGCTCATGCCTGTAATGCCAGCACTTAGAGAGGCCAAGGCAGGCAGATTGCCTGAGCTCAGGAGTTTGAGACCAGTCTGGGCAACATGGTGAAACCCTGTCTCTACTAAAACACAAAAAAATTAGCCAGGCATGGTGGCGTGCGCCTGTAGCCCCAGCTACTCAGGAGCTGAGGCAGAAGAATCCCTTGAACTCAGGAGGCAGAGGTTGCAGTGAGCCGAGATTGCATCCCTGCACTCCAGCCTGGGCAACAAAGCAAGACTCTGTCTTAAAAAAAACAAAAACAAAAAAATTATCTGGGTATGGTGGTGGGTACCTGTAGTCCCAACTACGCAGGAGGCTGAGGCAGGGAGAAGCGCTTGAACCCAGGAGGCGGAGGCTGCAGGGAGCCGAGATGGTGCCACTGCACTCCAGCCTGGGCAGCAGAACAAGACTCCATCTCAAAAAAAAAAAAAAGATTATAATACCATATGCTCTATACCTTTTCTACATTTAGATAGATAAATCTATAGTGTTACAATCGCCTACTCAGCGCACACGGTGCAGGGTTGTAGCCTAGGAGCAGCGGCCTCTGCCTACCGTATTGCCTGGGTGTGTGGCAGGCCACCATCTTGATCTGAGTGAGTACCAGTTCACACGACAGAGTCGCCTAACACCGCATTTCTCAGAATATATTCCCACTGTAAGTGATGCGCCACTGCACACACACACACACACACACACACACACACAGCCTATTGGTTCTGTTTCCCCAAAGAACCCCCATCAACACACCTCCATGAAGCTGTTTAAAATACGAGATAGAAAACACGAGGCCCTCCGGGCACGACACGCTCCCACTGACAGCAAACGTAAACCTCCAAGGGGAGAAATGGACACGAGACACTTCAACAAAGACAACTGAAAACGTGATCTGCAACATTATGATAACAATAGTGTTATATTATGGTATTCGCATTTCTGTTTCTTTCTGTTTTAAAACCTCCCAAATTAAAGGAAGATATCCCAAAAATGCATTGAAAGGGTTCTTGCTAATCAAGAATAAAAGACAAACCCACTAAGAGAAAACTTGAAAAATAATAAAAACAGTTGATCTACGAAAGGCACTGAAAGGGCCTACATAAAAATTGTGAATCCTTATTAGACAAATGCAAATGAAAACAACAGTGAAATTTCTTCCTACGGTCAGAATTGTCCGAGACACCCACGCCAGGGATCATATCCGGGGCCAGCGTGAACAGACCGGCGCAGGGAAGCCTCCCACGTGCTGTCCGGAGGGGTACAAATTAATATTAATCTTTTTGGGAATTCATTTGGCAATATAGAGCAAGGCCTCAAAATGATGTCCTTATTTGGACCTAAGAGTTCCAGCTCTGTAATTTTTTTCTGTAAATAACCATAAATATAGAAAATGATTTCAGTAAAACCGTGTTCATTTCTGAAGTGTTTTCCAAACACTAGAAATCGTCACAATGTCCAAAAATTAAGGTTGATTGAATAAATGGCAGTATTTATGTGTCACAGAATTTCAGGCTGCCAGAAGACATAATGTTCTGGAAGGATACATAATGCCGCGAAATAATATTCGCTATGTGCTAAGAAACCTGTTTACGAAATATTTACAGGATGAATGCATATGTGCAAAAGGATATGGAAGATACTAACAAAACGCTCCATGTGGTAAACTCAGAGTGGCAGAACTGAGGAACATTCTGCATTCCCTTCGCTTGTCTCTCAATTTTGCTGTTTTTTGTTTTTGAGATAAGAGTTTTGCTCTTGTTGCCAGGCTGGAGTGCAGTGGCCCCATCTCGCCTCAACACAGCCTGTGCTTCCCAGGTTCAAGTGATTCTCCTGCCTCAGCCTTCTGTGTAGCTGAGATTACAGGCGTGTGCCACCACGCCAAGACAATTTTTTTTGTATTTTTAGTAGAGATGGGGCTTCTCCATGGTGGTCAGGCTGGCCTCGAACTCCCGACCTCAGGTGACCTGCCCGCCTCGGCCTCCCAGAGTGCTGGGATTATAGGTATGAGCCACCGTGCCCGGCCCTCCATTTTGCATTTTTTTTGATGAATGTGATTTGGTGATGAGAGGTCATGGGCACAGTCCTCAGAGCAGGTTCTCTGGAGCAGACTACCTGGGTCCCAGCCTCAGCTCCCATGGCTGCCTACAAATCCCAGGGCAATTTGCTTCACTCCCCCACGCCCAGGTTCCAGCTATCGACTGCGTCCAGGGCTGTTATGAAGATGAAGTGAGTGAGTACATGCAGGCCCTCGGACTATATTGATATATGGGCTATATCAATACTACTTATTGTCATTATTAGACGGGATCAATACAATGGATAATTATCGTTAAATAATGCATTCATGCCATTTATCAACTCTCTGCAAAGCACTGTTTTCAGGGCTGAGAATTCAGCAGCCAGGTGGGCTCTGTCCTTGGGGGCACACAGTTTGTGCCTGCTGGGCCTCGCCTTCCCCATGTGCGTCTTCTGGCCTTTTGTGCTGTCTTTCCTGTGGCCTGGAAGCGGGCTGAGGAGCTGCCTGAGCCCTGCAGTGTTCACAGCCGTCCCCAGCAGCTGGCAGGGCCCATCTCAATGGCCATCCCGGCTAGTTCCCTGATCTGCCTGCCTCCCTTCCTCTTTCCCTCTCTCACGTTTCTCCCCTCCCCTCCCTCCCTCCCTCCCTCCCTCATTCCATCCCATGTTTCCTCCTTCTTTCCTCCTTCCTTCCCTCCCTTCCTCCCTTCCTCCTTCCTTCCTTCCTTCCTTCCTTCCTGCTTTCCTGACAGGGTCTCCTCTGTCACCCAGGCCAGAGGGCAGTTATACAATCAGAGCTCAATGCAGCCTCGAACTCTTGGGCTCAAGCGATCCTCTCACCTCAGCCTCCTGAGTAAATGGGACTACAGATGCGCACCACCATGCTGTCTAACTTTTTGATTTTTTTGTAGATATGGGGTCCTGCTGTGTTGCCCAGCTGGTCTTGAACTCCTGGCCTCAAGCTACCCTCTCTTCTTGGCCTGCCAAAGTGCTAGAATTATCGGCTTGAACCACTGCACCCAGCCATGCCCAGGTTCTGCAGCCAGAAGCCTGGGGAGTCTCTTGGGACCTCTCTGCCATGCCCACCACTCTGGAGTCCCCACAGCTCATCAGCTGTACTTCCTGGAGAGCTGCCAAGACCCCTCATCCCTGTCCTCACAGCTGCTCCTGAGAAGCTGCCACCCTGGCTGTCACCTGGATTTTCCCAGCCACTGCCAAGCTGGCTCCACTCCCTCTGCCAACCTGGGTCCTCCCCAGCCGTCAGAGTAAGCTCCTGATACAATGCATGTGGGATACGTGTGTGCAAGGTGAAGCCTGCAGTTGTTTTCAGAAGGCGGCACAGATCCAGGGACGAGCAGGCACCGCAGCCGGCCACAGGCTCCCCGTGCCATTCGGACACCTGTGTGCTTCCTTTAGGGGATAGCGCTGGCCTCGGATAAAATACATTTTTCTCCCACGTATCAGCGGGACATCCTGACATGTCACCCAGTGAAAACATCCAGCTCCAAATTCAGGATCTCAGGGGCCCCTTGGTCAGTTGGGCACCCACAACCTAACAGCAAATATAAGACACACTCACTGCAGAGGAGCGGACGGAGGAGGGAACCACAACCCACCCCCAGCCGACCACAGCAGAACACAGCCAGCGGTGGACTCATATCCCCAGGAGGGCAGCAAGGACGCCACCTGACTGCAATACGTGCCGGGGGCTGCACGCTGGTCAGCCACCCTCCTCTCTGGGTGACGTCCCTTTCTATTGTCCTCCTCAGCCAACCTGGGTACCCACCGTGCGGTACACCCCTCCCATGGGCCAGGCCTCCGAAGCATCCCAGGACCGGTGGCTTGGTGTGGGGTGAGAGCTGAGGACTCCCTCAAGGGTTAAACAATTGCCACCCCTGTGCTTTTGGGAAGGAGTGAAGGCGATGGTGTGATTATTTAATAGACTTATTTAGGGTTCAAAATCCAAACTTCTGACAATTCCAGCTAGTAATCAAAAACAGCCCATCAACGACAGCAAAAAATCGTCAATCTGCAGCGTGTGTTGGGATCCAGAACGGAGCTTTCTGTTCCCTAGCAACAGAATTCAGGCTGCGCTCAGCCCCATCCTCAATTTCCATCGTGGTCTCTCTCCAGGCCTCTGGAAACACGGCCGGGATGGGGCTGGACCAGGTACCTGCCTTTGCCTTCGGGCTGCCTGGGGTGGTGTCTCTGTAATTACATCAAGGGTGCTGTCCCCCGGGAGGCCCCACCTCTTCAGTCTGATCTCTGACCCCACACCTCCCCTGTCTCCCGCTCCTCGGCTCCCTCTACTTGTAACCTGGGTGGAGAATTCACCTTTTCCAGCATCGCCAGGTTTCAGACTCTTAACCATTCTGGACTCCAAGTCACAAGCACCAAGCGCTCCCCTTTCATTCCCTTTTTTTGGAAATTTTCAGCACGCAATGCACCAGCCACTACGTTCCCACAGCCCAGGGTTTCCCGCCATAGCCCTAATGTTGAGGTCACAAAAACCTCAGCGTCTGAGTCCCCGCATACAGCAGGCCGTGGACCGCACTGCACCCCTTTTCCTCAGCTTGGGAGTGCTCCCCAGCCACCCCACTGTCACCACGGCCCCTGTCCTTGGCAGGAAGGCTCCAGTGTACCCTCCCAAAGTCAAGGTAGACGGCATCTCTCTTCGAACCATATTTTTAAAACAAAGAAAATTACTGTAAACCATAAAAGTATTGGGTGGGCCACCAGCATTTCGAAAATGGATTAGGGTGGAACAGAGAACATCGGAGTATTGTTGGGGTAAATATTGCTACGGAAACGCTGACTTCAACATGTGTGTGCGTGTGTTCACGTGTGTGCACATGTGTGTTCATGTGTGTGCTCATGTGAGTGCACATGTGCATGTGTGTGCATGTGTGTGTGTGTGTTTGTCTTAAGAATGGGACAAAAAGGGTGTGGATAGCAGCCTACCAGAAGCCCGCCCTGGCACTGGAAGCCCGCCCTGGCACACACCTGGCTGCGCTCGAGAGCATGATTCAGGGTAAATGCTCCCTCCTGGCTCTCCACTCCCTCCCATCGTGACGGCTGCCACATTGCACTGGAATTGTTTCCTTGTCTGCTTCCCAGACTGACAGAAACTCTATGTCTTGTTGGCTTTCCCAGCCCCAGTGCCTGGCCCTAGTAGGTGCTCCACGAGTAGAGGCTGAATGAAGGCATGTCTGGCGCAGGAGTTCGGCATGGACGGGATGAAATGGAAGCTGTCACATTTTAAAAGCCACGTCCTTTTTAGCAGCATAAAAGGCTTTGGTGGAAGTAATGAAGTGGTGAAGGTGAAGACCTGGGCATCAGTGGTTGGCTCCACAGAATCCCATCGAGGAAGGCCCTCCCTGCCAGGGTCCCATGCCCACCCTGCACATCCAGAGGCAAGGGGTGTGTGACCACCCCAAAGTTGTCAGGACCCCCAACCTCTGCAGTCACCTCCCTGCCAGGAAAGAGAGCAGCGAGAAGCCGCAGTTGAGAAGATACTAAACAGGAAAGTCAGTGTTTTAATTAAACAGGAATTGAAAACTGCTGGGGAAAAACAAGCGTGGCAACAATCATATTAACGCAAGAATCCTGTCGGAGCCCCTGGCAAGGACGCTTCAGTCCACACCAACCACTGGGATGGGGGTTAGAGGACCTGCAGTGAGCAACTGACTTTCTTGGCCTCAGTTTCTCCAAAGTGTTGTGTGTGTATGTGTGTGTGTGCATGAATGTGTGTGAGTGTGAGAGACTGAAGGAGAATACGTGTGCACGTGTGGTGTGGTTTGTGCTCCGGGGGCGAATGCCCGCAGGCATGAGCTGTGCATGAGTATAGGGCTGGGAGAGTCCACATGCCCTCACCAACCTGGACCAGGCCTCAAGATGCAGGGAGGACGCTGCTTCTCGCTGGTTGCTCAATCCGACTCGCAGGCCCTCTACTGGCTCCTCAGAAAAGGGTCTCTGGCTCCAAAAGAAGCTCTCGGGGTGCTCAAGGCCCCAGCCCCTGTGCCGGATGGAGATCTTGTGAGTCCCGGGGCAGGAGTCCTATTAGCCGCCAACCTGCAAGAAGGGAGAGCTCGGGGTGGCGCTGCTGCAGGTGCCCGCAGGAGCCAGTGCCTCCCCGGGCAGCAGGGCCACCCGGGCCTTCCGGACTGGGGAGCGAGTCTCCTGGCTGTTGAGGGAGGTGCAGAGGGGACATAAGCAGCAGGGGTGGACATGGGGAACGTGTCCTCATGGGGCCCACTCTTCCAATCCTTAGCTTGTTGTTAGAGGGGTGAACCTGTTTCGCAGATGGTCATTGACTGTGCAAGTAAAATAGATGACGGTCACTGTCACCCTCTCAGAAAGCACACCTCCATAGGACCAGTCCCGGGACTGGGAGCCGGAGGCGCCACCGAGAGCTGGTCCTGCAGGGACTCCAGGAAGATGGGCCAGGAGATGGCTCAGCAAGGAAGCGGCCGTGGCAGAGGTGCCAGGGCAGAATGGTCCTGGGGCGGAGGACGGAGGGGACGTGCGCGCCTGTGCCCGGCAGTGCCACACAGGGGGGAGGAGGAGCCCTCATGCGCGCGGGGCCTCCCGTGAAGGTGACTCTGCTGCGGTCCGAGGCTGTGCTCCCCGTGGACTCAGGGACCCCACTGCACGAGCCCTACTTGGGGTGACAGGGCCCCCCTGGGGAACAGGCCCAAAGCACCCTCTACTTGGAATAAGCTCCGGGTCCAAGTCCCAGAACCCACCTTAGGAGACGTCTGGCCCCCACCCTCAGCCTTCCAGGCCTCGGCGGCGGCAGCGGAGGGGACCCGGAAGGCCCGAGTCCGCAAACTTCACCCGGCCAGGCCGTCCTCCGGGGTGCCCAGGCTGCGGGCGCGCCAGGCCGTCTCTGTCGCCATCCAGAGGAGCGGCTCGGGCGCGGCGTCCCCTCCGCCCGCCTTCCTCCCCGCCAGTCCCGGGTCGGCGGCGGGAGCCCCCCGCGGCGGCGGGCGCGCGCGTCTCGCACGGATGCCGGGGCGCGCTTAGCCGGGG